CGCGTATATGTGCACTTAAATTCCAGCATCACACTGGGTTATAGTGGGTGAAAAGGGGTGAGAAGGGTGAGATGGGGTGACAGCGGGTGAGATGGGATGACAGCAGGTGAGATGGGATGACAGCGGGTGAGATGGGATGACAGCGGGTGAGATGGGATGACAGCGGGTGAGATGGGATGACAGCGGGTGAGATGGGATGACAGCGGGTGAGATGGGATGACAGCGGGTGAGATGGGATGACAGCGGGTGAGATGGGGTAACAAGACAGTGGGTGAGATGGGGTGACAGCGAGTGAGATGGGGTAACGAGACAGTGGGTGAGATGGGGTGCCAATGGGTGAGATGCGGTCACTCACGCGTGATTGCTACTGCTGTCCTTCTTCCAGCGATCGATCCAAGTGTGCAGGGCGTGGCTACGCTCCTGGGGAAGGTGGTATCTGGGGAGGTGCCATTTGAGGAAGCTGTAGCTGACGTCATGACATCGGATCTCCCAGCCTCCATGTCAGCAGCACCATCACGAGAATCGTTACCAACAGCTGTACCATCACCCCCCGAAGCTGACTGCTCTGGCCAGCCAATAGAGAGGCTCGACGTGGCAAGGTCAAGGCGGAAGGTGGAATTGAAATGGACGGCAAAGTCAGGAGAGAAGTTGAGGTTGGAGCAACCAACGGCGAGAGTGGCACTGGAATGGGGAGAGGAGGAGGGTGGTGAGGGGTGTGGAAGAGTGACCGTGAGGGGGTGAGTGGGAAAGGGTGAGTGAGTATGGGTGAGTGGGAAAGGGGGAGTGAGAAACACTTAGAATTCTAAGAAATGAAGTGAGGAGAGGAGTTGAGTTTGGAACAACCGACGACGAGAATGGCGCTGGGATGGGGAGAGCAGGGGGGTGAGGGGGGGCGAAAGGGGGACTGTGAGGGGGTGAGGTGAGTGGGAAAGGGTGGAAAAGGCCACTATAGGAGTGATGAGAAAGGATGAGAGTACCATAGTCCACTCTGCAAAAAGGCACCAATGCCAACTAGGAGAAGTGCATATAGGAGCGGAGGTAGAGGAGGATTGGCAGGGAAAAGGCAAAATTGGCAAAGCGCCAGTGCTGCAACGTACCTATAATACTCGACGTCCCAGAGGCGGTAGGAGACGGAGAAGTGCAAACAGGCAGGGGGGTCGGTGCACTGCACGTCCCCACTTCCCAACGCCGGCCCTTCAGAGTCAGAGTCAGGTTCTTCTTCAACCAACAGCTCTCATTGCTACTGCAGCAGCTGCTGCTGCTGTTGTTGTTGCTGCTGCTGCTCGAGCAGACCGCGGCGAAAAGGCAGGGAGCGGCGAATAGGAGGCATGCCGCGGCGATTAGGAGGCAGGTCGCGGCGCGAGGGCTACGACAGATCAGCAGCGCACAGGCGGCATTGCATTGCATTGCATTGCATGGCGCTCCTGCCCGGAGGGCGATGTCAGTCGCAAGCGCCATGACACGCTCTCCTGATTCTGGGAGCTGACTTTACAGTCGACTCAAAAGCAGCGCACCGCGGGCATTCCATAGTGGGAGTGCATCGCATCGCATCTCCCACCTGTTGGATGGCGATGTCACTCTACGGCCAAAAACAAAGAATGCACTTAGCGGAAGTATGTTCGAAGTTCTTCGTGGGAACACACTTCATAGTTTAATATGTGCATTGGGATTGAATCCGCTGGGTAAGTTCGAAGTTACCCTGGAAAAACTTCGAAGATACTTTGAAAAGATTGTTTGTGGTTTCCACATTCTTTGAAGGAGGATTGTATAAACTCGTTACACTAAACACCGATATTAGTATAGCAACAATCCATAAAATGCACTGTCTTGCAAAAATTTTTTACTAATAGCGAAGGTGATAGTAACCGCCGTGACAAGCAGTAGTAGATGTGACAGTGTACTACACTCTACACCTGAACCTAACATAACAAATCCTTTGGGTGGGTTTTATGCTTGAACAATATGCCAATAACGCGTATGAAGTGAAGAATTTTGTGTGCCAGAAAATTTGATACAATAATGTGTTACAGTAGCTTTTAGATGGACAAGTTGTTACCAACATTCATTATACCTTCTGACTCAGCATAAGAAACAATCATATCAGAAATGTAAGTAACAATTCAACTATAGCGTGCACTATCGCGGATTTAGACTCCATCGTGATTGGGGCTACAGTAGGTATGGGGCAATGCTAAAGTCAAGCAGGCGCCCTATGGTCCCAAATGGTCAGTGTTTCAGTGCCCTAGGGAGAGGTGACTGCTGGAATCGCCAGCCGAGGCGACATGTCATGAATTTCATCGTCAGAAAAAAAAACTCTCATGGCGCAAGCTCCATTTGCGCATCTCTGCAATTGGGATAATGTGAGAAGCAACCAACCAAAAAAAAAAAAAAAAACACACACACACACACACATACACACACACACACACACACATTTGACGCAGTGTTGACAATTCCTTTGAATGTGGTGATTGACGCAGTGGAATCTTACTTGGAATTGCTCTCTTCTGCAATTCGCCACACCGCCCACCTGCCGCCGCCGCCGCCGCCGCTGCCGCTTGCATAGACGCCGCCCTTGCCCTTGCCACTGCCATTGATGTTGCCTCCGACAGTGTCGACCCCGGTCGTCCCGACAGCCCTTGAAAATCGTCGTCCGACGGACGCGCTCCTCGTATGGCTTGAGGCGCAGCACGGCGACGATGTGAAAATTTATCTGTTGGAGAGAGGGGGCGGGATACGTAAAAGAAGGTGCAGGACGAATACTTAGTAGGTGGCTCGCTTGAGCATGAGAACAAAATGACAAAGAAGAAGATTGAAAGGCTCGGAAACTGGGAAAGTGCCAACAGCACTGACTGAAAGTGCTGCTTGACTAGGCCATTTCAAGCTCAGGGGCACGCCTCGCTTCCCCTCAAAAATCGATAAGGGCACGGTTCTTCTCTGTTCCAAAGGCCATTCACGACCAGAACTTTTGCAGTTTCCGCACTGAGCCATTCGTAATCGGTTCTGAACGTCAACTTTCCCGTTTTGATGACAAAATGTTAAGTAAAAGTTTGCGATTCGAAAGGCCGTGAGGCTATGATATATAATGGATCCATTCTTGAGTTGGTAGTTTGAGAATGTTACTGGGGGGCGTTGTTTTGAGTGGCAAACTCCTTACTATATTTAATAATGGTATAACAATTGCAAGGCACGGCCACTGCTTGATGGTTGAGGCAAATGTGATCATTTTGATTTCTTGCGGTTTTGTGCAACATGCATATTGCGATTCAGCACCTCTCATGTACTAAGAGGAAGCCAGCTAGGTTGGCAATATGTTGATATTTCAGAATGATTGCTTGAAGCTTAAGTAAAGAGGTGGGCCTCTTTTGAAATAAGGCGTCATTTCAATGTTATAATACTAAGGGAAACGACATCTTTGCTCGGCGCAGCATCAACGCTGGTTCATTTGTTCTTTCCCCCTTACCCCCTCCCCCCCGCTCCCCCCGCTGCCCTTCCTGCAGTACACAACTAAGAAAGCGGGCAGCACGCTTTGCGCTCTCGTTTCAATCACCAACGCCGCTGCGAAGCCGCCGTTACGAGCGGAGGCGATGAAGTGGCTGTGCGTGGACGCAGCATGGTCGTTCAATCAAGCAGCCCGTGTTCCGCGGGAAACGGCGTGCTGGATTGGCTTGAGCCGGGCTTGTACGAGCAACTGCAAGAGCTGTCAGAATATTATGCTCTAGCCTGTAGTGGGGTGCTCTGTAGCGAGTACAACCCTTCTAGGGTTTGCTATTTGTATCCCCATTCTTGCTAGTTCATTCCTCTTTTGCCTAATTCTCTCGACATGCTATCAGAGCGGTTACGCTCTTGGCCTGTGGGCCCCACTACTGCTTCCGCTGCCCTACTCTGTGCTGCGCGCCCCGTGGCGCGCGGCCTTCAATTTTTCATCCCGCCGCGCGCTCGGGGCGCGCGGCGGTTCCCTGCCCGCCGTGCGCGCCGAGGCGCGCGGCGGTTTCCAGCCGTGGGGGAGCCCGCGCGCACCCCGCCCGTCCGTCGCGGCGCCCTGGGGAGCACTCGCGGCCCCCACCCTGCACGTCGCGCCGCCCCCGTCGACCCTTGCGTCGCCTCCGGGGACCCGCGCGCACCCCCCCACCGTCGAATCGCCCCCCCGTCGCCCGTCGTGGCCTGCGCGCGGCCCGTACAGCCCGCGCGCGGCCCGTACGGGAAGCGCCAGGCCCGCGCGCGGCTCGGGCCGCCTGCGCGCGGTTCGGGCGGCTGTGCCAGGCCCGTGGGCGGCCCGTTCCTCGCTGCACCTGCCCTCCCCACTGTCCCCCGTGCTTCTACTGGCGCCCTACCCCTCCTACAGCCCGTTCTCCTGAATTAGGGTTTGGGGGTGAGGGGTATGGGGGTGAAGCCACTGAGTGCCGTTCCCTGCTCCTCCTCCTCCTCCCTAGTCTCTCTCTGCTACAGCTGCCGCTGAGGGGGGTGGTGTGTGGGAGCCTAGGGTTTGGGGTTTAAGGGGGGGTACCGTGGGAGTGGAGCTAGGGTTCAGCAGGGGGTGTGTGTCGAGGGGTGTGTGGGGCAGTTGGAGGAGGTTGAGCGGAGGTTGCCGTCGTGTCGTCCGCAGCACCTGTATTCCGGGGCCTTTCTCCTCCCGGTAGCTCAGAGAGCCGGTTGCATCTGTCGCCCGTGGGTCAGTTGCTACTGTCGCTGGCTGATCAGACGCAGAGCCTGTTACTCCTGTATTCCGGGGCCTTTCTCCTCCCGGTAGCCACCAGCGTTGCACCAGAGCCGTCTGTTGCCCGTGTGTCTGCAGCTTCAGTCGTCGCCTCCACTCTTCTCTCATCTCACCAGCCCTCCTCCTCCTCGCTTGCCCTCTGTGACAGCCTCTAGCTTTACCCATAATTGTGAACTTTAAACTTTTGCTTCTTGCTCATGTGCTCAGAATGTGTGGTGACATCGTGATCCACCCTGAGCTTGTACTGCTTTGCTTGCTGTGCTGATTACACCCCACTTTGGCTATGGGGGTGTGTCAGAATATTATGCTCTAGCCTGTAGTGGGGTGCTCTGTAGCGAGTACAACCCTTCTAGGGTTTGCTATTTGTATCCCCATTCTTGCTAGTTCATACTCCTCTTTTGCCTATTCTCTCGACAAGAGCTTCAAACGAGGCTGAATGCCGAACTTGCTGTTGCGGACGGGGAAGATTTGGAGGGCGGTTCTATCGGGAGGAGGCAGCTCTGCCACCGCCACCGCAACAAGAGAAATAAGAAGAGCAGCAAGAAGAGCAAGGGTAGCAGCAAGAGCTGCAGCAAGAGCGGCAGCAAGAAGGGCGGCAGTGAGAAGAGCGGCAAGACGAGCAGCAAGAAGAGCGGCAAGACGAGCGGCAAGAAGAGCGGCAGCAAGAAGGGCGGTAAGAAGAGCGGCAACAAGAAGGGCGGCAAGGAGAGCGACAAGAAGAGCGACATCAAGAAGGAAGAAGAGCAGCAGCAAGAAGGTCGGCAAGAAGAGCAGTAAGAAGAGCGGCAGCAAGAAGGGCGACAGCAAGAAGAGCGGCAGCAAGAATGGCGGCAGCAACAGCGGCATCAAGAAGTGCGGCAAGAAGACCGGCAAGAGCAGCAGCAACAAAAGCAGCAAGACCGGCAGCAAGAAGAGCGGCAAGAGCAGCAGCAGCAAGAAGGCGTCACCGAAGAGCGGCGCAATGGTTGCTGGCCCATCTCTTGCGGCCAGCGCGGCCGTCGGGAAGGGATACAAGTCGATCCAAGCCGCTGTTGATGCCGCTCCTGGCAGTTCGTGATTCGTGATATGAATTCCCGCGGGAACGTACAAAGAGCAAAAAGTGATTGACACGACGGGTATCGTTCTGATTGGTGCGGGCACGGATAAGACGATAATTACGGGCGGCGCGAGTTACGGCAGCAGGTCTGGGACATTCGAGTCAGCTACAGTTGGGGTGGATAGCGATAGTTAATGCCACCCTTTTTCACGCCTTTCTGCCCATCTCTCTCATCCCTCTTTGCCCCTTTTCTCTTATCCCTTTCTGCCCTTCTCTCTCTCTCTCATCCCTTTCTACCCTAACCTCTCATCCCTTTCTACCCTTACCTCTCATCTCTTTTTGCCCTCATTCCGTTTTTCTCTTCCTGCCCTTACCTCATGTACACACCCACCTGGTAACCACACAATATGTTTGTCGCTTTCATGATCAAATTCGTAAATGCGGCAGGTCCCAAGAATCATCAAGCAGATGTGTTTTGCGCCACTCGTGACCAGACAGCTCTGTTCAACTGCGCGTTTGAGGGATCCCAAGATACACTGTATGTGGACGCGGTTCGGCAGTGCTACAAAAACTGCTACATTGGTGGCACGCATGACTTCATTTTCGGTGATGCGGCAGTGGTTATCGATGCGCCGAAGATTCAACTACATCCAAGCCCGTCTTTTGGAATTCTTACGGCGTCGGGGCGTAGTAAGGATACGCCAACCGGGATTGTGATTCGCAATGCAAATGTTGCAGAGGACAGCGGCACTACCAGGGTGTATCTGGGCCGTCCATGGAAGAAATGCGCCTTCACTGTGTTCATCAACGCCAATCTCCCCGCGGTAAGCATTCCCTTTTCCGCTTTGCGGCACGTTAAATGCCCCAAAAGGCGCCTCAAAAGGAAGAAATGCGCCTTCACTGTGTTCATCAACCACAATCTCCCCGCGGAAGGCATACCTTTCAATTCTGCCTGCGCAAATTCTGTTTCCATTTCCGTCTTCGTCTGAGTTCTGTAAAGAACCACTCGAAAGAGCAAAACGAGCGTAACTGCACATGCTCACTACATTCCCAAAATCCCACCGCCCTTCCCCCCTCCTTCCCACCCGCCTTCCCAACTCCCCATATCTCCATTCTACTTCCTTCCCACCCCTTGCCCGTGTGGCTAGCTGTCGTGGAACGAGGGCAAGTGCATGTATGCTTACTTTCTTCCCGCCTCCCAACCTCCTTTACCCCCATCCCCATTCCCATCTCCTATCCCCCAATCCCCAACCCCCATCCCCATCCCCATTCCCTATCCCCTCTTAGGTGATCGAGAAGGGTGGCTGGCTGCCGTGGAATGAGGGCAGATGTATGTATGCCTACCTTCTTCCCACCTCCCCTCTGCCACTCCTTGTCCCACCCCCCATTCACTCCTCCTTTTTGCCTCCTTTCTGGCCCCCCACCTCCCTCTCCCCAACCCACTCTCAGGTGATTGAGAAGGACGGATGGCTATCGTGGAACGAGGGCGGCTGCATGTAGGCTGGCAGCAAGGCCCCTGGCGCTGCATCTTCCCGGGTGGACTGGGTAAAGCCTGGGATTGTCACGGACGTCAGCGGATACGACGCCAACAGTTTCACAGAAGTCAACAGTTGGCTCCGCCTGTCAGGCTAGTGTTTGTGTCATCTTTAACGTATTTAACCTTACTATAATCAGAAGCAGCAGTAGGAGTTCCAGGAGTGGTCATGCTCACACGGGCAATGGCCGCGGAAGCGCCAAACCAGTTCAGGAGTTTGATGCTCTGAGGAGTTAGTGGTAAGATTCTTGACGTAACTACACAGTTTGGGGAAGCTCTTAGCAAGAGTTAGGATGATTCTTTTTGTGGGTTTTTGTTTGGAACTTTTTGTAACCATAACAAGATTCGACGTTTATGTTGGAAGGGTTGCGTAGAGTCGTATTTCGTGTGTTAGGGCGTGGAACTTTTTTCCGGACCAACAGTCCGGACCACATGCGAAAATTTGCGTCCATACTCGTACGTTTTCCAATTTGATAACAAGTTCAAACGGTCTGGACCGTGAGCGGGATACCTATTCGCATGCCGTCCGGACCACATGGTTCGGAAAAAGTTACACGCCCTTAGAAGCATTATGATGGAGTATATGATATTTTACTTATAGAAGCAATTCACTAAGTTCTACCTTTTTACTTCATACGGGACAAGCTCGACAGTTCCTTGTTATGGATTAAAAAAAAATTTCTATATATTTTTTTTTCACTCAAATTTTGTTTCGATATTCATTAATATGGAACGATTCGGACATTGATATATTTTTTTTTCACTATTGTTCTATCAGGTTGCTACATCGTTTTTTTTGTTTGCAATACTGTATCTGATGTGTCAGCTAGTTGGATGGCGCGGTTATGTATATGTTTTCACGTGACACTAGCTTCCACATATCTGTTCCTTTCACAGCTGTCAACTTGAATTTGACGCTCGATTCTTGGTTCTTGGTTCTTGCTTCGTTCTTGGTTCTTGCTCTTGTTTCATCTTGACAGCACCTCCTCTACTCTTGCTTACTCCTTTTCTTCCCCAACCAAATTTCTTCTCCAACCCAATTCATCCTCTCGTCTCGACTCCCTACCATCTTGCTATCCTTTTTAGTAACACCCCGCCGTCGCCAATACCTCCCACCCAGCTGTCGCTCTTCGTCCCATCCCGCCGTATCTTCTCCCTCCTCCCCGCCGTCGCCTCTCCCTCCTCCCCGCCGTCGCCTCTCCCTCCTCCCCGCCTTGGCCTCTCCCTCCTCCCCGCCGTCGCCTCTCCCTCCTCCCCGTCTTCGCCTCTTTCTCCGCCCCGTCGTCGCCTCTCCCTCCTCCCCGCCGTCGCCTCTCCCTCCTCCCCGCCGTCGCCTCTCCCTCCTCCCCGCCGTCGCCTCTCCCTCCTCCCCGCCGTCGCCTCTCCCTCCTCCCCGCCGTCGCCTCTTCCCCCTCCCCGCCTTCGCCTCTCCCTCCTCCCCACCGTTGCCTCTCCCTCCTTCCCGCCGTCGCCTCTCCCTCCTCGCCATCGCCTCTCCCTCCTCCCCGCGGTCGCCTCTCCCCACTCCCCACCGTCGCCTCTCCTTCCCTCTCTGCCGTCGCCTCCGGCGACAGGTGCACGAGTGCAAGCGCGGGTTGGTGCGCAAGTGCAGGTTGGTGCACGAGCACGGTTTGGTGCGCGAGCGCGGGTTGGTGCGCGAGCGCGGGTTGGTGCGCAAGCGCGGGTTGTTTTCTCAGGCACCGATCCGCGCTTCCGTCCTCCGTCCTCCCTCCCCCCCCTCTTAAATTTCCGTTTCCTTTGTTTGTTTATGTTTCTGTTTTTTGTTTTTGTTTTTTGTTTTCCCCTTTTCTGTGTGGATTGGTCTCCTCCTGCATTGCACTTTCATTTGAAGAAGAAAGAGATGGAGCGCAAGGGAGAGCGTGTGTGCATGAGAGAGCACGTGAGAGAGCGCATGACAGAGTGCGTGAGAGAGCGCGTGAGAGGGCGCGTGAGAGGGCGCGTGAGAGAGCGCGTGAGAGTACGCGTGAGCGCGCGTCTGAGAGTGCGCATGAGAGTGCGCGTGAGTGCGCGTGAGAGCACGCGTGGGGGCGCGCGTGGGGGTGCACGTGAGAGTGCGCGTGAGAGTGCGCGTGAGAGTGCGCGTGAGAGTGCGCATGAGAGAGCGCGTTAGGGTGCACGTCAGAGAGCGCGTGAGAGAACGCATGAAAGTGCACTTGAGAGTGCGCGTGAGAGTGCGCATGAGAGAGCATGAGAGAGCGCGTGAGAGTGCGCGTGAGAGTGCGCGTGAGAGAGCGCGTTGGCGTGCGCATGAGCGTGCACGTGAGAGTGCGCGTGAGAGAGAGCGCGTGAGAAAGCGCGTAAGAGTGAGCATGAGTGTGCGCGTGAGAGTGCACGCGAGAGCGCGTGCGAGTGCGCGCGAGAGTGCGGGCGAGAGTGCGCGCAAGAGAGCGCACAAGAGAGCGCGTGAGAGAGCGCGTGAGAGTGCGCGTGAGAGTGCCTGTGAGAGTGCACGTGAGAGTGCGTGTGAGAGTGCGTGTGAGTGTGCGCGTGAGTCTGCGCGTGAGAGTGCGCGTGAGAGTGAGGGTGAGAGTGCACGTGAGAGTGCTCGCGAGAGTGCGCGTGAGAGCGAGGATGCTCGTGAGAGAGCGCGTGAGAGTGTGCGTGAGGATTCGCGTGGGAGAGCGTATAGGTTTGTATGTTTGTTTTTGTGAGTGTATTTGTGTGTGTGTGTGTGTGTGTGTGTGTGTAGGTGCAAGATTGAGTACAAGAGTGAGTGCGAACAGGAGTGTGAAGTTGATCGTGCGGGTGGCTGCAAGGTATTGCATCATGCTAGCGTAGTATCTATGGTGCTACAATACCAATTTACCTCTATGAGCTGTCAAATTTCCGTTGCTTGTCTTTGATTGATCTATGCGTTCTTTAAAAAAAAATATTTCTATTGTTCTTATTTCGTTTCTAGTGCAAGTGTGAGCTGCATTCTCTTTTTTTTTTTGCTTTCTGCTGGTACGTTGTTGTTGTGAGTTTCTCCTCGCAGGGCACGTGAGTTACATTATATATTTTATTACCTTCTTTTTGTACAATGTGTGAACATTCTCTATTTTTGCCATTTTCTTGTGTAGGGCACGTGTTTTGCATTCTCTATTTTTGCTTTGTGCAGAGTGCGTGAACTGCATTCTTTGATTTTGATTGGCAGAGAAGGGAGATGAGGGAGGGGGTGTGAGGGAGATGAGGGAGGGAGGGAAGGAGGGGTGTAGGTGTCAGAATATTGTGTTGTGTAGGCTGTAGTGGGGTAGCCAAAATGGGGTACAACCCAGATAGGGTTAGTACTTGTATCAAACTGTTTCACTGTTAGTTCATCCATTCCTGCTGCTAGATTCTGACATGGTTTCAGAGCAGGTCCTGTTCCAGGACCGACTTCGTTAGGGCCCACCCGATCGTTCCTGCCCGTCGCGCTGCCCCACCCGTTGCACTGCCTTGCCCTGCCCTGCCCTGCGTCACGCCGCCCCGTGCACGCCATGCCCTGCGTCGCGCCGCCCTGCGCACGCCCTGCCTGCGTCGCACTGCCCGCGCGCGCCATGCCCTGTTTTGCGCCGCCCCGCGCACGCCCTGCCTGCGTCGCGCCCCACCCGCGTGCGCCCTGCCCTGCCCGTCACGCGACCCGCGCACGCCCTGCCCTGCCCCGCACGCCGCGCATACGCTTTGCCCTGCCCTGCCCGCACGCCGCGCGTACGCCCTGCCCTGCCCGTCGTGCGACCCGCGCATGCCCTGCCCTGCCCGCGCGCCGCGCGTACGACCTGCCCTGCCCGTGGCGCAGCCCGCGCACGCCCTGCCCTGCCCGCGCGCCGCGCGTACGCCCTGCCCTGCCCGTCGTGCGACAAGCGCACGCCCTGCCCTGCCCGCGCGCCGCGCGTACGCCCTGCCCTGCCCGTTGCGCGACCTGCGCGCGCCCTGCCCTTCCTACGCGCCGCGCGTACGCCCTGCCCTGCCCGTCGCGCGACCCGCGCACGCCGTGCTCTGACCGCGGCCGCCCTGCTGACCGCGCGCTGCCCTGCAGCTCGCGCACCAACCCTGGCAGCCCGCGCGCCGCCCTAGCAGCCCGTGCGTCGCCCTTTGCGGCCCGCGCGCTGCCCCTTGCCTGCCCGCGCGCCCTCCCCTGCCTGCGCGCCGCCCACATCTGGCCGCGCGCCGCCCTTCCCTGACCGTGCGCTGCCCCGCCCTAACCCTAGTGCCTGCTCGCCGCCCTGCCTTCCCTACGTGCTGCCCTGCTGGTCACACGCCTCCTTGCTTTGCCCGCTATGACTTCTCTTGGTGGTAGCGGTGGGAGTGGTGGCGACGGTGGTGGCAGCAGTGGGAGTGGTGGCGGCGGCCGTAGTGGCAGTCGCGGTGGAGCTGTTCAGTGGGGAGTTTCTGGCAATGGCCAGATGCAGTTGCGGATAGTTGGCCACACCCAGCCCCGCTGCTTCGCCCGTCTGAGCGACGCCTGGCGCACAGTGTTTGGCGACGAGGCTGCGCTCCCCCACTGGCTAGAGCGGCTTTGGAACAATGTGGATATATTTTCTCTAGACTATGACGCTATCCTTACTGCCATGTATGCTTTAACTGTTGGTACTGAAGGTGACTGTTACCTGTGAGTGCCACCCGACCCTGGTATAGAGGCTGCTGCTCTAGGTGCTAGTGAGTCTGCTCTCTTTGGTACTGCGCCTGCTGAGGCCTTGCACACCTTCACGCTTGACTCAGGTGCTTCCCACTGTTTCTTTCGAGACAGTACCATAGTCACTCCCCTCCCTGCACTTGTTCCTGTCTGACTGGCTGACCCCTCTGGGGGTCGTGTTCTTGCACGTTCCTCCACTGTTCTCCCGTGTCCGGCGGTTCCGTCCGGCTCACTGTCAGGTCTCCACCTCCCCTCGTTCTCGACGAACTTGGTGAGTAACGCAGTCCTTCAGGATGCATGGGTTGATACCTTTACCCCTGGAGGCCAGCGTGTGGCGATCTGCACGTGCTCCCGGACTGGCCGTCACCTGGCCACGTTCACTCGTCGGCCTGGGTCGAGTCTGTACACACTGACTACTGCGCCTTCTCAGACCCCAGGTAGCTGCGTCTGGTCAGGTGTCCGCGTCAGGTCAGGTAGCAGCCCCCTGCTCGTGTCGCCTCCTGTCGCACCAGACGCTCCTTTGGCACCACCGCCTTGGTCACCCCTCCCTGCCACGCCTCCGTGGCATGCACTCCAGCTTCCTGGTCTCTGGTCTTCCCAGGTCTCTGCCTCCCCTCCCGCGCCCGCCTACCCCGCCCTGCATTCCTTGCGTCGAGGGGCGGTAGCGCGCCGCTCCTCACTCCTCCTCGTTTCCCCCGACGACTGCTCCCCTGCAGACTCTCCACATGGACGTATGGGTCCCAGCCCGCATCCATGGACAGGGCCGCGAGCTATACTTTCTGCTAGTTGTTGACGACTACTCGCGTTACACCACGGTCTTCCCCTTGCACAGCAAGGGGGAGGTCCCTGATGTCTTGATCCCTTGGATCCGAGCTGTCCGTCTCCAGCTCCGCGAGCGGTTCCGCACGGACCTTCCTGTCCTGCGTCTGCACTCTGACAGAGGTGGTGAGTTCTCCTCCGACCTCTTGCGGGACTTTTGTCGTGGGGAGGGCATCCTCCAATCGTTCACGCTTCCGGCCTCCCCGCAGCAGAATGGGGTTGCTGAGCGTCGTATTGGCTTAGTTATTGAGGTGGCTCGTACCTCCATGTTCCTTGCGGGTGCTCCCCATTTTCTGTGGCCGTTTGCGGTCCGGTACGCTGCGCATCAGCTCAACCTCTGGCCCCGTGTCTCCTTGCCGGAGACCTCGCCTACACTGCGTTGGACGGGGGAGGTTGGCGATGCGTCGCGGTTCCGGGTCTGGGGCTCTCGTGCCTTTGTCCGCGATACCACCGCGGACAAGCTCTCCTCTGCGCCATTCCCTGCGTCCTCCTTGGCTTTTCTCCTGAAGCGTCTGGCTGGCAGTTTTACCACCCCACCTCGCGCCGGGTCCTGCCCTCTCAGGACGTCACGTTTGACGAGTCGGTTCCCTTTTACCGTCTCTTTCCCTACCGCACTGCCCCTCTTCCCCCCCCCCCGCGCAGCTCTTCCTCGCTCCAGGTCCCCCTCTGGTAGACCCCCTCCCCCCTCAGGGTCTTGCTCCTTCAGGTGTCTCTCAGGTAGACCCACTTCCCTTGGCTGAGCCTGTCGAGGTCACTGGTGACTCTGGTGCTGCTGGGGGTGGTGCTGCTCGGGGTGCTGCGTCTGGGGGTGCTGAGCCTGCGGGAGCCTGAGCGTGCAGAGCCTGGGGGTGCTGAGCCTGAGCGTGCGGAGCCTGGGGGTGCTGAGCCTGGGGGTGCAGAGCCTGGGGGTGCTGAGCCTGAGCGTGCGGAGCCTGGGGGTGCTGAGCCTGCGGGTGCTAAGTCTTAGGGTGCTGGGCCTAGGGGTGTTGCGTCTACACTACGGGAGCCTCTCTCACCACAGCAGCTGCGCGAGTGGTACGCTCGGCGCACCCGCCTTTGGAGTGGCGCTGCTGGAGCTGGAGGCCCTGGAGCTGCTAGTCCTGGAGGTGCTCGAGGTTCTGCTGGTACTGGGGGTGCTGGGGGTACTGGAGCTACTAGTCCTGGAGGTCCTTCCGCTGCCTCGCCCCAGCAGTCTAGCCGGCGGGAGCCTCTCTCACCACAGCAGCTGCGCGAGTGGTACGCTCAGCGCACCCGCATTTGGAGTAGCGCTGCTGGAGCTGGAGGCTCTGCCGCTGGAGATGCTGATACTGGAGG